GTATTGGTGATTGGCATTGGCAATGAGGGATGGTTACAAAAAGTAGATAATGTGCTTTTGACAGGAGTTAGAACTGCAAATACACCACGAAGAGTTTGTTTCTGGGTCTAGGTAAACTAAGCACTAGGAACAGGATTTTAAGTACTTGTATGCATTTTGTTCTATCAATAAGTACACATATGTAAGAAATTAAGATGTGAGTTTTTTAAAAGAAACGTAAGGCATCATTGAGTTGATTTTGCATTGGAAATCCTGGCCTTAAAAAACGGAAGAGTGGAGAGTTAGCTGCAGTAAAGACGTTGCTTTGTCAATGAATTTATTCAGAGCATATTAGCATTTCTCAGAAGATGTTTATAGTTTCAAGGTCAAGAGCTAACTAGTTATTAGGGTTACATGGTTTGAATTGATTCCATTCTTTTGAGAAGCTAAAAGAAGTAGAGCAGCACCTCTTCAAGAAGAGGGAATCAAAGTGTGTATTTCAAGTAAAAACAGAGGTTGCAGTGTACACAGGTGTAAATTGGAATAGTGGTTTTGCAAGTATTTCTAAGAATAGCTGAATAAGGTTCAGAACAAGAAGAACAAAACCATCATTGGGTTTTTGCTTTCATGAAGTCCAAAGGAAACTTTTTGACTTTGCTATGCAATCACAGTAATGGCTGGTGTCTCCCAACCTTATGGGTATTCAGTTTCTAAAACAGTAACTATGAAAGCCAAAGATTCTTTTAGGGCAGAAAGGAGTAATGGTGGCTGTCACCTTGGTGGAAGCTAGAGCAGACATTTTGTTCCTTTGCTTTGAGAGGAGATGGAACATTAATTAAAAAGAATAAAAAATACACAACATGGAAACTAGTCCATATCCTAAAAGATTCCAAACAGGACAAAAATTTAGTGTTTAAAATATGCTGATGACAAAAATTTCCTAGATTATCTAGATATAAATGGAGACAGAAGTAATGTCCTCAGTTTATCAATATGAACAGACTGAAGAAAAAAAATTATCCTCTTTTTTTTGCATTCATGCCTGATGATAAGCTTCTCCGTGTGATTTATGATGCCAAGAATCCAGGTCATTCTGCCTAGGTAAGTACCACCTTCTTTCTCCTTTGAGTTCCTTTTCAAGTCACTCGTTGGAACTCTGCCATCATCACAGGAAGTTTTGGCATGTAGATAGCTTAACAGATGAATTTGTTACTTCATGAAAGAACAAAAAGTTGCTAGAAATATGCAGAGTCTGTATATAAGCAGCAGAAAATTGACCTAATTGTCACTTCTTCATTTGTAATTCTCTGAGACTGATCTTGAGTCTGAAAAGCAACTAATGGCTTTGAGTGCTTAAACAGAGCATTGGCAGAACAGGAAGAGCTTGGGGGATATTCTCAGCACAACAAATTCTTCAGCTGGCTTTGTTGCTATAAATGTTGAGTGATTTGAATGCAGTCAGCAGAGTTAGCTTAGATTTGTATCCATGAAACAATGACATTTGCTGCAGCTTAGAGATTATTTAGTTCCTTTCACCTGCATTCATTTTAGCTCTTGGACCCCTTTAATTCCTTTGAATTGCAAAGCTTTGTCGTAACTCTCTACTTTTACCTTCGGACTAAAATAGGTTGTTATGAATTATTCAGGAAAAAAAAAAATGTCTGTCACTCCACCTGCATAGGGCATTTTTTGGATGTATGCAGATTACTCTGTCAAATTACTAAGATTCCTATTAAGCTGTGATAGGTTACTTCATTTGCTGCAGCCCATAATTACGAAATTAAAGGGTGAGTCTGTGTTGGCTTTGACTTCTGTTTTCCTGGCTTTTTTGACTTTGAGATAGTTATTTAGTGATTCTTAGTATATTATGTGAAGACTCTCTGGGGGAGATGCTCTCATTAGCTATTTCTTCCTGTATTGAATCTCCATTATGCTTACAGTTATAAATATATATTTTTTTACACACAGATAATATTTTTCAGAGCAGTGCAAAATACTGAATGAGCCTCATAACATTTTGTCAGCTGTGCCTATACAGCTCCCTGATAGTTATCATAGATAATCTTACTTTTGAGCAAAGTAAGAGAATAGCAGAAATATCTGTTCAGCTGGGAAGTCTGATGTTTTAAAATGGTAGTGACTGTAAAATGGTTTTATAAAGCTACATAGTAAATATCTATTGTTAAGAAATAAACAAAATTCTGCAATGTACTTCAAGATAGAAGATGTAGAGTACTATCTACCTTTTAAAAATAAATTTTGGGGACAAAATATTCATATAATCAGAGCAAATTTTTCATATATTAGTAGCTGAGTTCTTCAGCAGTAGCTGAATACAGAATTCCCAATAATTCCACAGTGCCATGTTTCCCATTGTTGTAAATGTATTTCATAATAATTTGTGAGCATGGCAGTAAAATTTATTGTTTGCCAATAACTACAGACCAGCTCTCTATACTGCAGAATATTTGATACAATTACCTATGGTTAATAGTATTTTTCTCTTCAAGCATTAGTGCTGAAGTCAATGTTTTACTCAACATGAACAAACATCACAGCCTGTACCATTTTCAAGTAAAAATATGTACTTAATTATGATACATTTGTATTCAAACATGTTTCTAGGTTCTAGGCTGGAAGGATACATTGCTTACATATCATGTAATCACACAGCAGTCTTGTGCATGCATAAATACAGTTAGCATGATGGTAAAGAAGGGAAGACTTTCTCATTTGATAAAGTAAGGAGGTTGTGTTGATTCTGCATCACTAAAAGATAAACTGTTAACATCTATGACACCTCATTTCTGCTTTCTTTGAGGTCTCACAACTGACATATCCCCTCCCTCAGCTGAAGTTGCTCCTCTAAGTTAGATAAAGCTAAAACTCCCCACTTCCTTGAGCTCCTGTGGGTACTTCAATTACTGTAGAACAACTGTAAAATCGAATGAAAATCCAAATCTCACCGCATCTGGAAGGCCAAGATATTCTCAAGTAAAGGAAAGCAAGTCTTGGTTCTCGACTGTTGAATTGATGTTTAAAATATGATATCAAAAATATAATTTGTGTAGCAACTGACCATTAAATTGAAATTAAGGATATGAGTGATTTCTGGTACACTTTTATTTCTTCAACAGATAAACTACGCTTCTGATAAATGCAGCATTTGTCTGTGGTTTGTCATAAAAAAATGAACTAATAGATTAAATTTTATTTTTTCTGTTCAATTCTTAAATTATTTTTTATTTGGATTGTCTGTACTTGATCCGTATTAATCCTTGATCATGTAAAAAATTTAAAAATGGTTGTTTTGTTTTTTTTGTTTTTTTTTTTTAACGAGGACCTTTCCATGTAATAACTTACAAGATTGGAAATAAGAAATGTCCAGTAATCAGCCAAGACATTGCTTGGACTGTACATAAATGATACGATAGAGTACATCATATATCCAAAATAATTTAGTGGATTAGTTCTTTTGTGCACACTTTGGCCACAAAGCAGTATAGTCTGTGGCTACATATGTCAGAAACTTCTGACTATTTTAATTAGTTTCATGTAGGATGCAATAGAAAACAGAATTTTCCCTTTATGGAAATGTCTGCTTCTTTGAAATGTATGAGTCCAATCGAAAATAAAAAGTATATGCGTTTATCTGGAAGGAAAGCCATGGTAGAACGGTGATTTTAAATCAAGTGAAATATTTTTTTCCTTCTCACAGCTTAGATATTTTTGGAAGAGCTTAAAAATGAAAATGGCTCCATTTCAGGGAAAGAAAACTGAATGTAACTTACATAAATTCTATAAAGTATATACACAGGTAAAATAGTGACAGTATATGCATCACGTTTTTTAACAGCAATAAGAATTTTTCTATTGAATAATTGTATTGTTCCAATCTGTAAAGAAATACATTTTCTTTTAAAAAAAGTATTAACTTTTCTTGCCTATAACTTTAAAGTGATTTAACAATAGATGTACTATGAAATTTGTTGTATTCAGTTTTTGATTAACAACACACTAAGAGAAAAATGATGCATCAGAGTTAATTAGCTTCCATTATATATTTTAAGGTAGGTTGTGATTTTGTGCCTTACATTGGCCCTTAGTGTAAATAGAAGTAACTCAGAAATCCTTAAACTTGCACAGTTTGTTTTCCAGAGAACATTTAATCATTTACAACATTTCAGTTTTTTATCTTGTCCATTTTCTCTATTGCCATCATATAGACCTGCACCTCCTGTATATTCATGTACCTTTGCCTAACTGTAAATTTTATGGTATCAATGTAGAAAGTGAAGACTGATATTGATTATAGGTTATGTATGCAGTGCTGAACAAAATCCCCCCAACAAAATGTACAGAATGCTAATTTATACATGACAAACAATGGAGGCACTGCCACTTTAACCCTTAATTCAAAGCCAGTGATTAAGCATGTGAAGATGACAAACACACATTCTCTGACACACTCATGGTCTTTCTAAAGCCTACACAATGGAGAAACTATCTAGTGTATCTAAGGTCAGCTTAGATTTAGAAGTCAAGTTCCTTATGAAAATAGGATTGACAGTGAAAGGAGAATAATTTTAACAAATATTGAAGATAAAATTTAGGTGCCTGGTGTAAAACAACTTAGGAAGAAACACATCTGGATGAGTGTTTTATTTAATTTATCATGCACAGACATCTTAAAATGAGATGAGTCATTTGCTGACATGCCCCTGTCTCTCCACACACACTACAGGGAAAACTAGGCTTTGATTTGAGAGCTAGCCTTAGGTAGGTAAAACTGGTAGAGATAAAATCCGCGTATAGAAGTTTAAGGTTTTTTGCTTCTGCTCAGAAATTTATTCTTCAGATTTTAGGAAATAAAGAGATAGCAGGAAGAATAGAACCAGAGAGAAGGAGGAACAAATGAGCACCACACTCTTCCTAGTCACAATTCCTGGTTACCTTATGGTTTAGCCTCCTTTTACATGCTGGTAAGCAATCAAATGAAAGCTCAAAATGCTTTACCATACCTGATTGTGGACTTTGTTTGGGGATTTTGGCTGCTGCTTCGGGGCTGGAGGTGGCACGTACACGCTGATTGGCAGAATTGTGGATGCTACTTGGGACAGCTGCTGAGATGTTTTTACGAGGTTTCATGTCTTGCAACCACATTGGGGAAGCCTCAAAGGCTTGCATTCGCCGAGAGTGGCTGTTAGCATTGACTTTGAGAAATGCCTGGGCCTTGTATTCCTGAAGGTCTCCATAGTTGGCATCGGTCACCCTGCACTCATACAAGCCTTCATCCTTTTTCCTCACTTTTGAAATCTGCAGCTTGTGGGAGATGTCATTCCCTTGTACTTTCACAGTCTGCAAATTTTCCAGGAAAAGAAACAACAAAAAAACAAACCAATAAAAAAACAGAGAAAAAAAACATTGTCATGAATTCTTTGTCATGAATTCTTCTTTCTTACGAAAAACTCTATGGGCATAGCACCAATTTACTCAATGGTGTGATTGTGCTTACTGCAGGGAAGTTACATCAAGGATGAGTATGGCTAATTGTATCTATGAGGATGCCTGACATCATCTTTCCAAATCTGCTTAGATGGTTTGCTCTGAAATCTAATTAGCCTCAGAAAAAAACCCCAAACTACCATGTTCATTCCAATTAATTGCTTAAGATCATGAACATTCTTAATGAGTTTTGTTGTGTAAACCCAGTATCCTTGCACTTCATTGGTTAAACCTTTCCAGTTAGTTGGCTTTGTTGAATAATTCAGTTTCTGAACTAGTGCATTAACAATTTTGTTGGAGATGTTTGCCAAGTTTTAAACTACGTCAATAACTATTTATTATATTAGCTCGCACTCTTCACTATATTGAAACTATATTTTACATTCAGTTTGTCTCCTTCAAGTGAGTCTAAACTTTTGGTATTTTTTTCTGTTAATGATAAGAAGACATATTGTGTCAGGTTGTTTCTTTTGTCATTTTTATCTGTGTACTTATTAGAAGCACATATTCAGAATTGTTTTAAGAGGTGTCAGCTAAAATTATACTCCTGATTTTATTTTTAATTATTGCTAATATCTGAGGATAACATAACGTATTTTAATTTCAGATAACTAAAATACAAATGAGTAAATTATACATCCAGAAACGTGTGAAAGGTATTAAGATGCATTGGGAAAAGTTTACACAGATTCCTTTCATATGTTCATCACTTTAGAGAATTTATATTTAATTAATTTTCTATTACTCTCTCTCTGAATTAATATCTGTTGCCCCACAGGAAGCCAGTTAAAAGGTACTCAGTGTGATATAAATCTTCAGCTTTGAAGAACTTCTGAACCTGGCTTACTTCCACCATTATGTAAACATGGATGCAAAGGTTGCCTTGTCTCATATCAATGACAGCCAATAAGGAGACATCAAGATGATGAATACATGGTAGATCACAAAAAAGAGACCCACTAGATTGAAGCTGAACACATGTTAGTGGGGATTATACCATATATTGCTTCTGACAGCTTGGCCTGCTGTAGTAACCAGTGTTGGCAAAGCACCTATTCTTCCTCCTTGATAAATGGAAGAGCAATACTCTTGAATATGTCATTGCTTTAAGGTACAGGACGGACTTTATAGCCTGTTGTGTTGTACCCAGCTCTGAATTTATACTTGGCAAACTGAGTTGAAAGTATGGATTACATACTTACAGGCACAATGTATGCAATATTAATTATACAGAAAGTGTTGGATAGTTATTTAAATCATATTCAGTAATAAGACATCTCTACTGAACTATTCATGTTCAACAAAAGTATTAAAGAAGATTTATATGAATGGAAAGAGGATTGGTAAGTCATATTGCACCTTCATTTGTTCCTATGCAAGAGCCATGAAGTTAACAGTGCTGCATAGCCCTGGTGAAAAACAGAATTGTTTTTGACTTTTTCATTTGAAATTTATTTGAAATTGCTGCAGGCAACACATATGCATGTTTTCAGTTTGTGCTGCTTTATCATTTAGAACAGATAGAAATAGTGTATTTCAGCACACATCTAGCATAAAAAATGTATTAAATGTACTTTAGTTTTCTCTTCTTGATGATAACTTACATTAGTACTAATGGAGCTGTGTTTGCCTTCAAAAAGAAAAAAACAGGCTAGATTTGTAAAAAGTAGGTAAAATGTACATTTAGACATCTACATAATGTTGACTATTTTTATTACAAATATAAATGTTTTATGCAAGCTTATAGGAGCACTGTAAATACCTTCTCATGAATTATTATTGCACATAATGAAAGATTTGTAACTTCAAAGATGAGACAAGCTTTACAGTCTATATTGTGTCTCAGTACTTATGGCTTACTTTAAGGATTTCAAATGAGTCAGTATTGATAAGGAATGAATTATCTGCTAGCCCTATGTCAAGTGGAATAGTATCTAAGGACCACACGTGAGCCTCATTTGTAAGACAGTCTACAACTGCAACTGAAGATATGGTCCATGAAACAAAGTTTTTCTAGTCGATGGTGACAAGTATTACAGAAAATGTAATTATGGCTAGAATATGTATTGTATTGAACATAGCATACCTGAGTTCTTATTTATAAATGCCCTTCAGCTATACTTCGGTGCACTTTGACCTGATGTAACTATTTGGCTTGTTATTTGTAGGCATCAAAAAACAGCAGAGTAAAGGATTTGTCAGAAATTATTCCCCTTTATTTGTTGCTGCTTTAAGCTTTGCTGGTACTTAAAGCCTTGTCTGCAGCTCAAAAGCACTTCCAAAGCGATTATGCCAGAGAAAGGGAAAACCCCTCTGGGCTCAAAGGGAATATTCATGCTGCAGTGTCTACTAAGTATCTGTGTCTTTCCACTGCAGTGAGCACCACACCATCATCCCACCACCATACATTTGTTGGGATGCTGAGGGAGGAGGATCTAACCTATTCTGAGGTCAGAAGCAGCCTTTTGGCTGTGCCTGACTCAGGGCATGAGTCGGCTGTGGAGGGCATACTCTTCCTACAGGGAACAACTGGAAGGGGAATGGAGCAATGCTGCTTTATAATTCTGTTGAGATAAGATTCTGGTTTAATCTCCAAGCAGCAGATTGGTAACTCTGGTGTCAGAATCTCACTTTCGTAAAAACAGTCTTGGTGGCCAAGAGCTGAGATCACTCCCAATGGGAAGGTTTTGCCCAAAGCCTTTCTGAGCTTCCTTTCTGCCAGCGAGTATGGACCTGAGAAAACACCCATTTAAGCAGCTGCACACCCCCTAAAGGAAAGTGCAGCTTCGTGGACAAATTTCAGCCTTAAAACCAACTTTCGAGTGCTAAGGCAGACTCAGTAGCTGCCCAGGGTAAATGAAAGCCAGAAATGCAAGGATGGGTGCAGGCTGGATTCTTCACGGGGTGCAAACAACGTTTGCCAATGGAGGCATGCTGGTCGACGCCTCCATGTCCAAGGGAGTGGGGGGCTGCACGGGGAAAGGCTGTCCTGACACCTTCTGCCAGGGCCGTCAAGGAAGTAGCCATAGAATTCTAGAATGGATGGACTATTTAGGTTGGGAAAGACCTCTAAAATCATCGAGTCCAGCCGTAGCGCTGCGGGCTGCCATCTACCCGCAGTGTGCGGTGCGGATGGGGAGGAGATGCGGGCCAGGAACAGACTCGGGGCTCGGAGGCGGGGTGAGCCCTGACTGGGGAGGGGACCCCCGGCCGGCGGGGACTGCCCGCGCCCTGCGGCGACACTTACGCTGATCTTCGTGCCGTCGCTGTCCAGGTCCCGCTCGGGCAGGAGCTCCACCTGCAGGGAAAGGAGAGTCGCCGTGGGTCTCCGGCCCCCGCCCCGCTGCGCGCCCCGCTCCCGCTCCCGCTCCCGCCGCGGAGCCCGTGGGGCCGCGCGCCGCGCCTGCCACCTGCGGGCCGCGCCGGGGACAGCCGGGAACAGCCGGGGAACAGGCTGGGGACAGCCGAGGACAGCCTGGAATAGCCGTGGAACAGCCGGGGGAGAGCTGGGGACAGCCGGGGAACAGGCTGGGGAGAGCCGAGGACAGCCGGGAATAGCCGTGGAACAGCCGGGGGACAGCCGGGGAACAGGCTGAGGAGCGCCGGGGACAGCTGGGGAGCAGCCAGGGAACATGCGGGGAGTACCCGGGGCCAACCGGCCCGGGCGGCCGAGGAGCGCGGACCGCGGGCCCTCCGCCCTCCCGCCTCGCATGGGCGTCTTGCACCGAGCCCTTTGCGGAGACAGCAGAGACCACGGGGAGGAGCGTCCCCGGATGGCAGTGTTAGTGGACGTGGCCCTTCCTGTCCCGCTCAGAAGGATGAAGTCACGCTGTTGACTGATTTTGGGTTTTTATTTCTTTAGGGGCATGGATTCCCCCCGGCCTCCACCGCCCCCTCCTGCGTGTGCCCTCCTGTGGCAGCTGCATACGGAGTTAGGGCTGCCAACTCAACTGCGCTAGCTGCAAATTGGAGGGCACGTGTGGGACCTTGCCACATGGGAAATATAAAATTCTCACAAGGAGTAATCTTTGAACGGCTGATTTCCAAGGGAAAATGAAATAGGAAAAATCATCAATAAAATAAAATAATAATAATAATAGTTAAAATAAAAGGGGGGCTGAGGCTGTGGAAATAGACTTTGGAAAACCTGTGTGGTTTTGCGAACAGCCCTAGCTGCATTGTGGAAGTGACAGGCACCAAAGGCACCAACTCCTGAGGTGGGCATTTTTCTCTGCAGGTTCCTGCTCTCTTATTTCATAGTCAAAATTAAGTCCCTAGGGAGATACAGAACGTCTCTCTGCTCGTTCCCTCTGCTCTTCACTTCTTTCCTTCTCCCGTTTCCTCACCATCCTTTCAGTAGCATTCTTCAGATGGTTTTAGGAACCCATGGTAGAGGATCAATACCTGAGTGCCTGTCACCTCAGCTCCAGCCTCTTGGTCCTCAGCTGCTCGCAGAAACCACCACTGGATTTCAAGGTACACCGAAGTAGAGCCACTTTGGAAAGCACAAGACATCTCCACGTTCTGCCCTTCAGTGGCCGTGACATTTCGGGGAAACTCTGTGAATTTTGCTGTAAAACAAATGCATAACATGTTGCTACCTTCTAATCATTTATGCTCTGCTTCTTGTGTTGCCTTTTTTATTGTTTCCTCCCCCCACTCCCCTTTCTAAATTCTCTGTTTTCTTTTCTTATTCCCACTCTTCTAATCCCCCCCCCCCGAGTTTCCCACATATTATCTCCCCTGTTTTTTCTCACACTCAGGTATGTTTTTCCTCCCTTATGCACAAATCCACCCCCTTTACATTCTCAATTCTGCTCATGGGAAATGTTATAGATCCCCCTGCTTGCTCCCATGAGCTGGTAAAGTTTCACATAATTAGGTCTGAATACCCTTGGGCAGAATGCAGTATTTCACCAGAATCACTGAGAGATTTTGTACAAGACCACTTTAGGAGAGGGAAAAATATCAGACTGATTTATTGTATTTTGTAGGGCTGAGCTGTAGACCTGTAAATTGTTAAGCGTTCCACAGCCAGCTGAAGCAGCTGTTGGTACAGACACCTCTGTGTACTCTTCTGAGTGTTACAATCACTTGTCAAATGTCCTATTCAAAGGCTTTATCTGACTTAGTTACTCAGATTCTGAGAACCTCTGCTTGCATAATCAGACCAAAAAATCAATTAATCTCTGTTTCTCAGTCCCAGAAGACACTTTCTGGAGCTAGCCTTCATATTTGTATCTCAGTCCTTCAACACACAGGATCTGCCCATTTCAGTTTACCACTGCCAAGTATAAAAGCTAATGCTGATAGACATTGCCCATGCCATCAGTAATTCTTTAAGTTTTAGTCTTTACTTCCTTCTCATCCTTCCTATCACTTAAAAATTGTGCAACATAATGAATCATGATAGTCAAGTGAGGGAGACTGCAGACAAACAATCTAATAAATAAATGCTGTGTTTCAAGAAGAGGTAAATTTGGAAAGACTCTGCAGTGTCGCTTTCTGTTATGAGTTGCTACAGATTGACTAGAGCATATTATGATCTGAAGGAAATGTGATGCGAAAGAAATATTGCTCATTGTCTCCTCCCCTCTTTCCCTCTCTTTATACAGTCTTCCTAGCCAACCTGGAATCGGTGGGATAATTTGATAACCAGTGTTACTTCTCTTTCCCCTTACATTTGTGCCTGGCAACTAACACTTTCAAAGCTGCTAGCTTTATATTCCACGGTTCCCCTTTCCCTGACCCCCACCCCCACCAGCCAGCCATTGCTAGTCACCGAGTTAAACTGCCAGAAGGACCGTGCATTTTGTGTGTTCGGGGCTAGTAAGTTTGTTCTGGGGGTGGTTTTTTTCAGTTTGCTCCTTCTCTCCCCCCTTGGTCAGTACGCGTGAGCGGCGTGGGGACACGGAAGGGAATACTGGCGGCATCCCCGCGGCGGCACCGCCAAGCGCGAAGCCGCGGCGAGCTGCGGGCAGGGGAGGGCGAGCAGGGGGCGGCGGGCGGCGGGAGGGAAGGGGCAGCAGGCGCCGGAGAAGGCGGGGGCAGCGGGCCCGGTCTGGATCTGTCCGTGGTGCTGACAGCGGCACCGCAGCCTCGGGGTCCCGAGCAACCCGCTCCTGCAGCGCCGGGGCTGCTTGGAATGCAAGGCGCGCCTTTCGGCGGAGAGGGAGGGGGGAAGGCGACGAGGGTGGGGGAGCTGTTCAAAGAAGTCGATTTTGTCTTTTTCTCCTTTTTTTTTTTTTTTTTTTTTTTTTTTTTTTTCTTGGTGGGGGGAGAGTGGTAGAAATGCACATAGTCACGGAATAGGAATGAAGGTCTGACTCTGAGGATGGCAGGATAATAAGAGAGCAAAGGGAACGCAGCGCAGAAGGAGACTGCAATATTTTAATAGAAACAGTAGGTTTAGCCAGCCGGTACTTGGTCTGAATGCAATAATTATGCATGCATGGATAGGTGTTTATTGTATGCAAACATGCCTGTATAACAACATGCACAACCTAAACACATGCATGTCCATTCCCCAGCACCCCTTCACTCTTCTGCAAGGTGCCTGTTATTTCCCCCTTTGAATTTGAGTAAAGGAAGCCTTTTGTATTTCTACTTTGGGAAAACTTCTCACTTCTTTTCAAATTTACAGACAATTTCGTCTGTACAAACTAAATGTAAACCTGATGTTTGATATCCTCTCTCTTACACATTTTCCTTGTTTTCCTTCTTTTCCCCTTTCTTCCTTTCCTCTCCCCCCCCCCCCTCCAATCCTGTCCTCAGTCTGTTTTAGCATAGCAAACCAGACGCACACATATTTGGCAATAAGTGATCTTACCTTGGGTTGAAAGTCCTTGTTGAATATACATAACTGAAAAGAAAATGAATCCAATATAAGCTAGAAAGATCCCCATCATTCCAAGATGAAGAAGTCACATCAGGGTAAAAAAAAAAAAAAATGCCAAAGTTGTCCTCAAAAAAGAAAGAACTGATATATAAGTGTATGTATGTATTTCAAATATCTGAACAGAAAGAAATTTGCAATGTTACGAAAAGGCTCTGTATTGTAGCCCTAGCTGCGACACTGGCAGCATTCTGCTGCTCAGTGGAGTCTTTTTCTTTGAGAAGAGCGAGTATTGCAATACAGTGTGGTTCAGATGAGCTGTCTCAGGCGCTGTGTTGCTTGAAGTCCAGATACAGACTAAAAAAAACACAAACCGTTGAAAAGTGGGTATCAGCTGCCTTCTGTGCCTTTTTTCAGCTACCTGGCAGCTTCGTCCAACGTCAGCTCTTGCTGCTCAGGATGGCGTGATGACTGCCCTCCCTACACACTGATCCAGCTTGGGAAGAGAGGAGTAGGGGAAAGAAAAGGCGGGGGGGTGGGGGGGAAGAGAAGTCTACTGTGCTTGTATTGCTACAACTTTTCCTTCTGATGGCTTCAATAATGCCTTTAACCCTTCCCTCTCCCTCCCCAAACTCTACACCTCTACCTGTTCTAACTTCTGCTGCCTCTGATGCTGGGGTAAATCTGTGCATTTTTTGGTGGGGCTTTTTTTTGTTTGTTTGTTTCTTTGGGGTATGTGGTATTTTTTCTGAATAGTGTACTGCTTATGACGGAGGGAGCTTTTATTGTACTGATGTAATCTTCGGTCTTTCATCCCAAAACACTCAGTGGCTAAGAGGGCAATGCAGTGGTTTGATTTTTGGTGAGTTAAGCTGTTTCTGTTTTCTCCTTTTCCTTTCCCTCTTACAGGATCTGAGGGGAAAATAGTTGCTCAGTAATCCTGTCGCTCTTGCTATTGCCTGCTCCAAATAACTATGCTTCTAGCATGTAACATTAAAATTACTTCATTTTGTCTTCAAAGGCAGATAAAGAGGATGATACTTAGAGTGTGCTTAGGTTGCATTATACACATTTCTACAAAAAAATATTTATCTAGATAAAAATGGGTTTTCATATCTTACCGATTACTCACATTAACGTATATATTTATGTAGACCAGAGAAGGTGTTTACAGTCTATTAAAGAATGCTTACCCCTGCAGTGAATCTCTTCTTCCTTGTTCCCTGTTTTCTGCCTATGTATATTAATAATGTTCAGATAAGAGACTAACCTTGACCACGTTAGGCATTCAAAACACCCTGAAACACATCTGCATTGAGAGAAGTTCTCTGGCTGAAATCGCCCTGCTGCTTGCAGTAAGAAGCCATCTAGAAAGTGCTTGTTGCACTAAGCAATCACCAAATACCTTCTGAAGGCTGAGACAAAGATTAAATAGAAACTGAAAAGAGCACCTGATAATCACTCAGACTGCTAAACAGCTGAACTTAACTGCTAATCACAAACTAAAAAAAGCTACAAGATGGTATCAAATTAAGAGAATTTTATCTGCACAGGCAGTATGTTTTTCTGGAACAGGACAGGTTCTGTCATTCCTGGCAATGGGAGTGCAGCAGTTGCACAATGGCACAAAATGCAACTTTCACCTTACTCACTGCACTAGCCAAATTATTGCATGCATGCATGACATCTGACACAGCTGTAGAGATCTCTTTCACAGAATTAATGATATCTGACTGGATAACTTTTTTTTTCTTTTTTTTTTTTTCTTTTTTTTTTTTTTTCATAATTGCATGAGTTCCTACTTTTATTTATGAAAGTAAGGGAGCCATTTCTCCATGGCAATAGCCTATTCCACTCATGTCATAACTTAAGCTTAGCAACACCTTTGAGTAAAAAATTAATACAATAAATCAAATATAATTTAAGTTATTAAAATGATCCCCCAAATGGGAAAACAATTGTGTTAGTTGAAAGATTTCCTATTAGCACAGAGATTTAATTACTTTAAAGGAGGTCATGTTGGATATATTCAAAACCAAAGAAAGTCTGTTAAACAAAAAGAAAGCACCAGTCTTTAAAGGTGGTAGACCTAAATTACCTGAAATAGTCAAGGTTTGTCAGATATTCAATGACTAAATACACTCTGTAGAGATCTTTACAGGTTCAGATGGTGAATGTTTCAATAATTTCTATAAAAGAAATCAGTTCTTTTTCAGATGGGTAGCCAAAATCCTAAGTCACTCCTGAAAATGAAGGCTGATTATAGGATTCACTTCAAACCCATGTACGTCATCAGTAATCAGTTGAAATTACAAATTAGAGACATATTATCAGCAGACAAGTTAAATGTAAATTAGACAGGAGGAAAAATAATCTAAGCAGTATCACCTGGTTTAGAAGGAAAGCAGGAAACAAAAACAGATCACTTTTTTCTCTTTTATTTGCCTATTTCAATTCAAGACACTTGATAGGTAAATTTAATTTTATTAATTTGTAATTTAGAAGCAAGAATAGTTCTCAAAAATATCTTGTAGTCAATGGAACTAATGAAATCTTAAATTACTGTCCCAGAGACGTACAAAATAATATATATGGTTATTAAAATATCAGAATAGAGGATATATTAGGAATGGATTTAATGAAAAAAGTCCTATAACTTGGTTGCATGTTTATTATTTTTATTTTATTTATGTGCTTCAACAAGCCATATGATTCTATGAAATATTCAAACAGAAAGCAGAAATAATCCACCTCACATTATCAATGTTAAATTTCGCCCTGATGGGTGTGACTTCTCCACAATCAATCATGCTGTATGAATCTGGGCAGTGAATTTGTGTAGTTACCTTGTGTGAAATCTTTGCCTTTTGTGCTGTAGAAAGTTTTAATGTAGTCTAACTTAAGTGAGAAGTACCAGCTGTGCTTTATATCACAAATGATATGGTTCATGTGAGCTTCCTGATGCCTTTTCCCCTCCCTCTCAATCATTCTAGCAGATGAGATATCACTGGACATCCACCCAGGTCAGAAAAAAACTGTCCATGCACAGTGGAGTTACTTTTCAAACATGCCAATGAAATGTAATAATGGGAGACCCATTTATGATGCCTTGGAACTGAATTATGTAGATCTCTTCTGTATCTTATTACAACCTCAATACATGTTCCAGATCAAATACTCCTTCAAAATCATGAATGGCTCTGCAGGTTTGTCACTCTGCCCAGCTTACAGATCCCGGGTCTACACATCTGTTCTAACTTTTAAGGAAAAAAGTGATTTTGGAGGTGGTGATTCCAAGCTCAGTAAAGGTTAGAAATTAAAATTATTGTTCGGCTAATCAGCAATAAGGTTGGAGTGCTTTGGTCCCATAAAGACACAGACTGATATGGGCTGCCTTGCCCTGCAGGAAACTGAACAGCTGATGCTTGAAACCATGACTGTGCTGCTATCAAACAAGCTAAATTAAAAATGAAAACAACAACAACAAAAAATTTTTTTCATGTTGACTGTTTAATATTTTCAGCTTTTCTTTTTCCATCATTATTTCAAAAATTTCTTCACAATTTCAAGGCAAGTTTTGTGTTGTCTGATGAAATTAGTGATTTATAAAAGTGGAAGTGGAGGCTGGTTCTCCTCACTGAGGATTGCTCTTGGGTTTTGTTGACCCAAGTGCTCATAGGAGCCTCTTCCAGCATGTCACTGTTGTCTTTTTTCAACAGCCTGCAATTATATATCAGAAATAGCAGCATAACTCAGTAGTAATTATTTTGATAATAAATTGGAAAGAAACTTGTGCAGGGTTAACTATCAAACCTGAGAGTATCAAGGACTTCTCACACGATTGCATATTTATTCAGTTAAAGGAGATAACACACACATAGAATTATTAGTACCCAAATGAGTGCCTTGTTCAGAGAATTTGTGATCTTTAAAGAGAGAAAATCTAAACAAATTTTTATGTCTTAAGTTCTTTGGGGAGAAGAATTTCTCACATTTGTATATGATGTCACTGTGGGTTCCCCAAAATTTTAATACAATTGACTGCTATTTCATGGTGAAAGCAACATCATAACCTTACTCATGACAGATAATAAATGTAGAATCCTTCAAAACAAATAGCATTTGAGACTATTACCAGTTTGAAGAACAGTTGCCAAGTGATGAGGCTTCTTGTTCTGATTACTGTTCTGCATAAACACAGGCAATACTCATAATTTGTAGATCCATACTTTGTGAAACTACACATTTGGGTTGATATGTTTCTATGCTAGCTCTACATTTCAGAGTTTCAAATGGTGGATTTTACGTTTCGGTTTTCTCCGAAAGCCTTTTGGGTTTTTCTCTCTACTTATTCAAATGTATATCAGCTATCTGTGGAACCAGCAGTGGAAGAGGAGAGGATTATAAAGTGTTAGAAATTAGTTCTATTTTACTTTTAAGATCCTTTATTTTAAATGCTCTTGCACTCTTCATCTTCACATTAGAAGCAAGAGACTTCACAGAGGTATCATTTGTGTTTGAACATTTCACTCTTGTGAAAATTCCTGCACATTTGGCCATTGTCAAAAATGTGAATAAATATGGGTTGCATATGCTCAGTAGCAGCTCACATCCCTTAGAAGCCCATGTTCATTCATGGTCCCTAAATTCCTCAGAGTCCTGAATGCTGACTTACTGCATATATGACATTTTCACAGAGTAGACAGGCATGCAAAGGGACCAGCTGCAATTAGTATCTGGAGAAACATGAGAAAGGTAAGAGAAAAGAAAGATTCTACAACAAGATGAGGTATCAATGAAAGGGTTGAAAGTTAGAAAATATCATAATGAAGTTTGTCCATTATCTTAATCCATGCCTTTCATTCCAGGCAATTATGATCTACTTCAAGTGAACCCTTCCTATTTTTTACCTGGATTCATACTTCACTCATTAGACAAAGTTCTGCTAGTCTAAAAATGGATTCTTGCTTAGGCCTGGAAAGTAAAGATGCTGTCATATGTGGTACTTCTGCTTTACATGCATTGGAAGAGAAGGAATGCCTTCCTCTCAGGGCAGTTTAGTTCTGCCTAGAAGCAGGGTCTGTCTCTGACCATCAGAGTTCCTCAGGGCCTCTCCACAGTCCCTTAGATCAGATGTTTCCCATTGGGTCAATAGCAGTGTGTTGCTCATTTCTGAACGCCCACCTCAGGACCCTGATGGTTCATGAAGAAGCCCTGAGCAGTTAAAATTGAAGTGAATGGATGCTGTGATTGAAGATGCAGATTATTATAAAATGTGACAAAATCCCACAACCTGGACTCTGGGTCGCTCAGCACTGACTGTTGTCTATGTGTCTTTGCTGCCTGTCTGTAAAGTCACTTTGTCACTTTGAAGAGGTTTTGTTAAGATAAATTAACCTTCAGGAAGCTCTCAGAGCTTTGCATGATGAGCACCATAGGGAAGCCCATAAGGGAATGAATAATTCTGTCTTCAGCTCAGTGTTTGAGT